TTGGAAAAGCAGAGACAAAGACACAGACAAGGCTGATGAGCTGAAACTGCCCCTCTGCTTCCCCTTCCCTCCCCATTCAATAACTTCATTGCTTTAAATATGGGAGGCGAGGCTCACACAATGACAACAATCCTGGTAGGAAACCTACTTGTATTCTGAGGGGATTTGCTTGCTAGACCTGGTGTCAACTATGCAAACGCTTGCAGTGTGGGACTGCACATGCACGTGTATTAATAAAGCCCCGATGGTCCAGCCCTAACAAGTAAGGACCAGTCACAACAGCTGAACTGCCAGCATTAGCACAGGTGTAGCAGGTCAGCAGCAAATGCCACCTTGGTCACACAAACAGGACACAGGTAGAAGCCCAGCAGAGTACCTTAGGGCATATAGCCTGAGAGGGTCAGCTTCATTTTGATGCCTCGGTTCAGTTTATTGCACCCATGCATGCGTGGGTACATATTCTAAACATACAAAACTATGCCAAAAGGATCATTAAGCACATGGAAAACCATGCTAAAAGGGATCATTAAGTCTGCTTAGGCAAATATTCAGAAATATCTATACCACCTGAATTTGACTCTCCTTTGAATTAGTCTTTAGAGTCTCATTATTTTGTTTTCCACAGGACCACAGTCTCTTTTAGTTCAATGAGAAGCATTTTTTTACCCCTTCACATTCTACATGTAGTCCCAAGCCTTATTTAAGGCACACAGTCCAATTCCTATATTAGGAACCTCTGCAGGTATGTGCCCTAACGTTAGGTGAGTACAGTCCTGACAAAATCAGTGGATCTCCAGAGGAAGATTCAGAGCCCCTAAACTAGGAACATACTTCTCTTTGGTGACCATATAGTGAATCCAGACATAAGACAGTGAGCGTTCCCCTATGCCTTTGAGATCTCTGTGACACCTATATCAGATGAGTCCTTCTCAGATGTCACTGACAAACTACAAAGAGGAGCATGGCATTTCAAACAGTTGACCTTTGCAACTGTGCTGTAATGCAGGGACAACAATGTATATTACAGATTTAAGAACAGGTTGACAAGATGAAAACAAAAGCTCCAGCAGTTTTGGGTGCTTAGCACATGCACCTGACCCCTGGTGTCGCAGAGCCCTGACTGTGTATCAAACCACCAAAGCTTCTAACTGCTTAAGCTATGTCCCAGAGTAATTAGCACTTCTGTACATCCCAATCAGGCAACTCACGTTGGGCACCAAATGACAGAAATGCACAAGTGACCTGCTGAAAAAAAGCTGGTTCTGGCCAGCTGCTTGAAGCCAGGAGAGCATCACACTCCACTGTGCCTTCTCCGGAGTTTCCACATAAGACCATCCTTTCTCTTTAGCTATATGAAGCAGGGGCCCTGCAGAGAAGAGTTTCATTGCACTAGAATAAATCTGCACAGGGCATGAGGCAAGGATCAGGTGAAGACAGGATGATATGTAAGTAATGACTGTCACATTGCAGATGCATGACAGGACTGAAGCTGCAGTTCCAAATCACAGCAGTGGAGCTTAGCTTTTGAGGATTTGATTTTATACCTACAGTCTGGGTTTATAATGTACCTCCTTATTTAAAAATAGTTTTTAAAATAGGTCTTCTAACATCTGGACTTGTACCAATGCTAAAGCATGCACCAGCAGCTGCATTTAAACCCTTATGTCTGCAGTCCAGCTCTCTACCAAAAATAATTGATAGCAACGCGGCTGTTGTGACGCATGCAACTTACACTCACCCGATGGGTTTGACACATTTTTCTCTGCAGTACAGTAACACAGAGACTTGGGTCTCTCAGGCTCAGTTCCAGATTTTGGAGAAACACAGCCAGTGGGCACAGTGTGTGCACTTGTAATCCATCCCAGGCTTCTCTCCTCTCCAAATGCCCCTGCTCCTCATGCTTGTATCCCACTTTCTCCACCACCTGCTCTTCCTATAGCTATCCCAGCTGCCTATACTCCAAGTCCTGCTTCACCTTATTATTTCTCCTACTCAGAGCTTCTCCTGAGCTCTTGCTTTGTATTTTCTTCCAGCTCCTCCTCACTGTTTTTAGCCCTCTGAATTTGAATGTGTTTGCTTCTCCCCATCTCCTTTCATGCTCCAGGTTCACCTAAGGGAGCAGACCAGGCTGCCTGCTGCCTTTAGTGGCTGTGCTCTTCAGCACAGAGGCCAGATTATGAAAAACTTCTCTGCTTTGGTAGCAGACACTCCTAGCAGGTGCTATGCAATTATTAGATGCCATATGCTTTTATAAATTATATTCAAGTGTATTTTGCAACTATCCTGTATTTTCAGACTGCTCTGAAATTTAAAAGCTAATTATGCAGAGCTGAGAACTGGCACAAAAGAGTTGCACCTAGATGTAAGCGGTTGTGCCAATGCTGATTGATCCATCTTACATGCACTGAGCTAAGTCTCCCTCACATCCTGTAAAGACTACTAGGTCTTTGGACTGAATATCTATCTAAAGGCTAGATATTCAGCCCAAGTGCAGCGGTCCTACAGTCCAACAACAGAACTTTCCACATGCCAATTTCATTACCAGGTAAAATTCTGTACAACAATCCAATGTGATGAAGGGTTAACTTCAGTACATGCTAAATTGCATTTGAGGGCATCTACGTACATTATTTGTAAGCTTTATTTTTGGCATCTCAAAATGAATCTGTCAAGCTAATGATATTCTGAGAGGGTCTTAACATTTCGAGTGCTGTGGGAAGTACAGCACTGCTAACACCTGCAGCAGGTGGTAACGCTCCCGGTAAGTCAGCGCTGAACCACTGAGCATCAGAGTGCAGTCTTTCGGATAATACAAGCAGAGTCCAGCTCTTCTTAGCAGTCATTCAGGGGCCTGCAGCTCGCTTCACAGTGGGAGTTTTGGACTTTGCTTCATGGCCATGTTCCAACTCAGGCAATTGCATCTGAACCGAGTGTCCTCTGCTGCTTCTGTTGGATGGGCACATAAGCACCTCACTATTAAATGACACTAGTTCTCAAGTGAATGTGATACACACTGACATGTCTGATGACAATGCACAGCAACACATATGTGCAGAAAGTACCAATTACCATTCTGCTCATAAACCTACTGGCAAGATTAAACTAGATAAGGCATGCCGTGTCAATGGGAACAGCATGTAAGGACAACCCCGATGCAGCCGGATCTGCTAGACAAAACTTTCTGCATAAGAACAAAGCTGCCTGTACAAGACAGGAGGAGAGAGGTAGAGGAGCCTGTCTGTCCATCCCACAATCAACAAGAAAGAAGGTGGCTTAAGCTAGGAGGCAAAAAGCAATGCTATGTTTTAAAGGCAAGCAGCATCCACCTCAAGTGGCTGAATTCAAATAGAAGACTTATGTCTTTCAGCAACGTGAAGGTCTGTGGGATGCAATTTTTTTTTTTTTTCCTTCTTTTTTTGGGCAGAAAGAACACAAAAACCCCCATAAACACACTCTAGGTAGTACCAGGTTTCACAAAGTTTCAGATTGGTACATCAGTCACAATAGAAATCTCCTTTTCCCCCTGCCATTTCTTCCCCCTCCCCCATCTATGGTGGGCCACCAGTACTGCACTTGGAGACTGGAAGACAAATGGGCAGCTGCCTCTAGAGGCAATTGTGAGGAGACTAAAGATCAACTTGCAGCTGGCACTTCCACCCCCACCTCTCCTTAATACTTCAGTCCACTTGCTGCCAGACAAGGATCATGAGTCAGCTCCTAAACATATTCTCCTTGAAACAATAGCTATAGCTCTCTGCTGCAGCTATACCACTACTCTGGCTCCAAGGGACACGCCACAGTTATGAAAACAAAAGGACCGATTTTAACCTACAGCAGCCCAACACCAGAACTGAATGATATAATAAGCATGCACTAAAGAATACTATGCTAAACCTGTGAGATTAGCAAAGCTAATTTTGACATGTAACAGGCATGAAGTCAGTACTGTAATGAAAATCTGCAGCAGAAGCAAACAGAAGTGTTTTGGGGGCTACAGGGAAAGCAGATGGCTTTTGCATAAACCTTTTCAGCTACAACAGGGTGCAGTTTGATACCACAGCATTGTACGCTACAGTACTAATTAGAGGGCAAAGGAGCCAATTTAGCCTTTACAAATTAACTTTATCACAACCGTAGGAGCTGCTCTCTCAATTCTGAGTAGCCACCACTCACTGAAACTCCTGTGTTCACAAAGGTGGAACTCCAGCACTCACCTCTTGAGGACATTTCAAAGAAGGAAAAAGCTTCTTTTTGCAAGTACAATGTTTCCGCTTACCAGCTAATGACATCAAACTCAAACCTTAACTTTTTTGACCCAAGTTCTATCAGACGATAAAGAATTCAAGAGGTAAGAAAATGCATTGGAGATTTCTCAGAACCAGATGTTAAGTGATGAACTGGTGGTGACTACGGAGCACTTAAAGAGCTGTGCACATAGTGAAGGTTAGACATGGGAGAGTGTACGCCCATGCAAAGCACCCTCAAGAAATATCAGCACCCAGAGCATGCCTTACCTGCAGACAGTCCACTGACATCCTCTGAAGAGATATTGCTGAAGGAGCTACAGTGCAAGCTAACATGTTAGGAAACTTAAGAGAATGCTACGCTTACATTTTTATTTCTAGCTAAGAAATAGGCAAAACCAGTTGTCCTTTCTCACCTCACCATAATTTGTGTTTCTTACAGCTGAGTATTGCCAATTAATTTGAAGAAGTCTCTAACCCAAAACATCGACATGTCTTGAGCCACATCGCCCTACAAGCCGGAAGGCAAGTTGGAGACAGAAATAAAAGACTACAACACAACATGTTCAAAGAGACAAGACAGTTAAAGAAAAGCCTACTTCTCCTTCTGCAGGACCCTGACAGGTGTGTTTTGTGGGACTGTGCAACACAAATTAGAAGGTTCTACTGTTAATGCAGTGCATTGATTTTACCATCAACAGAAACTTGAATAATGTATACACTCTGTATAAAAAGATAGCAGACTATATACATATGTATCTTTTAAATTATTTTATTTTGTGTAAGCTAAAAGGAAATTTACACACTTAAATCTCAAAAGACCTTGGGCATGCACATTGACCTTTTTAGAGGTTCTTCTACATAGCTCTCTTTTTTCCATAGGAATTTCCCCAGACATTTACAACCCATAGTTTTTTACTGTATATACAGCCTAAAACCATAGCAATCTATGATTATGTCATTTTACACTGTGCAAAATCAAACAGGAATAGTGGTACAACAGAACATAAAAAATTAACAGGTAAATTTCATTGTAAGACATTCATATAGTTTTGGTCCTTCTTTTCCAAATCAAACTGATTAAAAGCAGACAACCTTCTAATGACCCCAAAAAATCAAGTGTTTAGACAGTGGTCCATAACTGGAACAATAAGTTACTGACAGCATACCTTTCAAAAGGCTATATAGTGACAGAGCCATACTATTGAAGTTTAAGAACATAAAAATTGATCAGCCAACCAATCAAACAGGGGGAGGGGATGGGGGAGAAGAAAAGGAAAAAAACACACCTTAAGCTTGTTAAAACACTAAAGAAATTATTGGATTTTAAAGAAACAACAATAACTGAAAACCCACAAAGGGACAATGTAACCTTTTGTTTTTTTCCCAGCAACACTTACTTTACTATATGCCGGAAAGAAAAAGATGCTCAATGCAATCGGAAAACCTTTAAGGGGGACTTCACAGATTGTGAAGATTGAAGTTTTCGTTATATGTTTCTAGGATTTTTTTTTTTTTTAAACTTTTTAAAGTTTTGTAAGAAGGACACCACCAGTGTATTTCACAAAGACATAAATGTATACACCCCAGCACAACAAAAAGAATAGATCTTCAAAAAGATTTACCCCCAATTATTTACATTTTTCTCTAATATAAATTTAGGACTCCAGTATGTAAATAAATATACATTACTATGTATACCTTTCTAGTGCTGCTTACCAACAAATCATCTGAACTTGATTTTTTTTTAATTAAAGCAAGATTGCTTTTTACGACCCACGGGGGGGGGGGGGGGGGGGGGGGAGAAAGAAAAGGGGGGGGGGGGGGGGGGAGATCAATAGAAAACGTCCAATTCACATCACTTTAGTCTACCTTTTCTTGGCAGCTTGTTGAAGGTGTTAATGTGGCTGGGAACATCAACACCTTGGCATGCATGAAAGTTAAGTCAGGAAGGGTAGAAATCACCTTGGCAGCCTCTTCACTAAGATGTTCTTCCTTTTTAGGCTTCCTGTTGAGAAGAAAAGAACAAAGTGCATTAATCCAGTACCTGATATCCCTTGGATCACTGAAAGAACCACTGATTGAAGCAATGTTCTGGCAGTTTGTCTCCCATTGACAGGCACTTCTGTAAGCTACTTGAAGGTAGTCTAATGTTATAATACCTACCTGCCTACCAACAAAACGTTAACATAGGAAGCCAGCAAAATGCTCCTGAATATTGTTGCAATAAGGAAAAAAAAATGTCCTATTCAGATGCTAATTTTTTTTTTTTTGGCAGGCTCCAGCATGCCATTCTGGGACTACTCACTTGAAGAAACAACTGTGCCAGTATTCTAGGGATAAGACAATAGGAGCATTAGTTCTAAACTACCTAAATCCAGTATAATCTTTCAAAATAAAATGGAAAAAAAATCTTGAAAGGACATTAGGAAGTTCCTGACTTACTTCTTAATACTTTTAAAAGAAAAAGAAGGTACTTATGCGGTGTTTCTGACATGACTGTACCCAGATTATACATCATACCGCTCTACATCGTGATCCACAAACCCTTTTTTTCCCCCCCCTAGGGCTCATCAGCAGCAAAATGTGGCTCACAACTTGTAGCTACTTGCTTTGCAGTGCAGTAGTATGTATAGCCATAATGATACACACAGCAGTTTGGGAATCACTGGTGTTTACTTTGGCTTTTGCATTATTCACAAGAATTACTGAGCACAAATGAATAAAGAGGTCTGAATCCCATGTCGCTTGATTCTCACTATTATGCAAGAAACTCACATTTCCTAAGTAAAACGAAGACTGGCTCAGACTGCTACAGAAGACCCCCCTCCCCTGCCCAAACACACATACTTTACAGATGTCTGGCTTATCTTGAAGAATGCTGCCTATTTCTAGGAAAAACCGAGTATCCCATCAAATGTTATTCCAGTCCCAAAAAAGGTACTTGCTGCACCCTGTAATGACATTAGAAATTCTAGCTAAATAAGCTCCCCCATCTTTGGGGCAAAAAGCTGAGTCAAAAGGCTTGAACCAAATAAACTGCCTTTCCCTACAACACTTCAGAAATTTCCTTTCTGTATCTCGTCTTAGCTATAAACTTTAAACCGAGCCCATGAGGGCAATCACCACTCTGATCACAAAGCAGCATGTACTTATATTTTCTTTTGTCAGCACCCATCAGGATTGTTTCCTGAACTGATCAGAGATCAGAGGAAAGCAAGGGGCTACGTGTTTGCTTCAGCAGCAGTCTCAGAATTTCTTAGCTAGGAGAAGAAAAAAAAGAGCTGGAGTCAAACTCATCCTTGACATCACTGATCATTGTGTTGACACTGAACTATCACTTTTGTTTGCTACTTGAAATCTCCACTTGATGAAAGATCTCTAGATGAGGCAGCCTAGATACTAAATCTGACTTTCCTTCGCTAGAATAGCAATATTTTCTTTTCTCTGCTGCAGTGGAATTTCATGAGCCACTGGTTAGGCAGATTACCAAATTCTGGAGGATAAACAAAGCTGTGTGCTGGATTTATTGAAGGAAGAAGCAGAGCGCCAGTATGTGCCTCCTTCTCTAACAACTTCACAGTCAGCTCTGTTTGCACTCGAAGGACTATCTCTGAGCTGTTGAAATGTGGTTGTCACCCACCACTGTGTTATCAGTATCTGGTGCCACTATTAGTAATCACTTACCACAAGCCTCTTAAAGGTACAAACTCCCAGCGATCAAGGACTTACAGCTAACAAAGGAGTGTTTGACAGAGGAAGCCAAAGGAAGAGGGCTGACTCAGAGATCTGCATTAAAAGGAGTTCCTGTGATTGTTAATCAGGCACCGAGAGGGAGCTCACACACTCCTTGCTATTTATATGCCTCTTCCTCCTCTGCTCAACTGTGGCATGCTAAGAAATGGCACTGCTAGGTCCCAGAGGCAGTGCTGCATTTTATTTGGTGATCATACGGGGGGACCTTTATCACAGGACAATGTTATTGCTCTTGCTCTACTAGCTGGTCTCTGCAACATCACTGCAGAACATGCACACCAGTGAGCACAGTCAGATGTGAATCTCACCCAGTTACTGAATGCTCCCCTCCTGGCTGGAGGCCCTTTGCAGTAATTTACCTACTTAATGTGCTCTGTAAAAAGTATCTGTAAAGAAGGACAAGCTAACACACAGCAAATGTTATTTAACTATGACCAAGTTACAGCTATAGATACAACGACTTGATAATGAGGCTCAAAATCTTTTTAAAAATAATCTCAGAGGGATGAGACAGCCTAAAGTCTCCATTCCTCAATGGAGAGGGGCAGGTTCCTCCAGAAGACAATAAAACTGGACACTGCAAGTACCCTTTCTGGGTAAGGGTCAGCACCTTCGGTAGCAAATATCACCAGGGTAAACCCTAAAGAATTACTAACTCTCTAAACTTAAAAGACAAAGTAGCATCATCACTGCAGACTGTTTTCACCCTTAAAACTTACCGAATTGCCTAATAACTGTGATGCCTTTTGATAGAGGCAAGAGAAAGAACCATGTCAGGTTCATTAATTTCAGTCACCACTTTTGCTGAAGATGTTCCCACTGTCAAGAGATTCTTTTGCTAAACCTTGGTCTGCGGGGGGCCATTGCAGAGCTTCTACTCATGCACTCTTAATTTCTAGCTACCGTGGCTTACAGAACGGAGACCTAAGTGGATTGTCAGTATCAGCTGTACCACCTCTGTTTGCCTTGGAACCAGAAATTTTGATTACTAAACCATTAAAGGACCCAGCCCTGGCTCAAAACAGGGTCCCTGCCTATTCAGGTATTAAAACTACCTTTTACAGAACACTTTGCCCCCATCCATCTCTTCTCTTGCACTAGGTTACAGTTCCTTCCAAGACAGAGGGGATGCACTTACTCCACCAAATAATTGCAAGTCCCTGTACCTGTTGGCACGAAGTTTCCTTTTCAAAGGCGTGTTAACACTAAGCTGCAAGAAATTAGCCAGACTGACAGGCAGGAAAGTTGTTGGAAGAAAATGTAGCAAGAAATAGGGAATGCTTTGTCGATGCGTCACTGACACCTCGTTGTTCTGTTTTGCATTCCAACCCCTTCCTGCAGTGTTCAAGTCTTTCAGGACTTCAGTCATCTCTCATGTTTGCAAAGGGTTTTCTGGATAGCACCAGCAAGGCCAGGCTTTAATAGCAACAATGAGTTGATTAGAGAAATGCACTTTAAAAAAAATCACTCTGTAATTAAGAGTTAGCCTGCTCCATCCAACACTGCCCACAAGGAGTATTTCCAGTTTAAATGACGGCTTCGGCCATTTCTTGGAAGGGTATCAGTCCTCTGCTTTCCTTCAAAAAGACAGCAGATAAACTTCTGATCTCTGCCAATTCTATGGAACTGGGCAAGGCTGCAGAGTCTCTCTCAGTGGAATGCTGTACTGGATCCCTGACCTTCAACGCTTACTGCTGCTGTCAAGGTTTCAGGCTCAAGCTGAGGGGGAAGTTCCCCCTCCTCTCCCAACACTTTCCTTCTGAGAAACTGACTTTCCAGCTTCAAGAGATTGGTTTGCAAGCAAAAGATGGGGCTGTTTCAGTCCAAGACGACTCTTCACATGGCTTCCTACAGCTGAGCAATGGTATTTTCACTCTAAACTTCATCCTCAAAGACCCTGAGTTCAGACAAGTTACAGACAGACATGGGATAGCCTTAGCACAACTAAAGTTGACACTGGCCACATCTTCCCTAATCAGTTATCATGAATAGCTAATAGTCCATATTTCCAGGTTGGTGCATGAATGTCATCCTTGTTGAGCTGGCTGTACCCAGCCACTCCTATTTTAAAGTCTCCAGTTAGTTAAGAAAGAATAAAAAAAATTCAAAAGAAAAACAATTTTATTAGAAAAAGCTAACATACTGCAACATATTTGGCATACTGCTGAGATAAGACCTTCTCATATCTCTGAAGGTTTCTAGCTTGAAAAACAGACTGCTTTTCTTTTGGAGAGCATGAAATCAGAAAAGAAAAAACACTTGAAATTTTTAAAATTCAGAGTTGACAAAAACATACAAAATGTATTGAACAGTGAAAACAGCTGCTTTAAAATGGCTAATCCTCGCGTGTGTCTGAACTTAACTGCCAAGTCTGAGGTCCCCAGCCTCTTCCTACAGCCCAATATATTGCTACAGCACAGATCTAGAACCTCTTCCTATCAGTAAGCAATGCTCTCCAGAACTTTGACATCTGGATAAAGAGCTTTAACAGCGCAAGTAAGAGCTTTCAAGTGTGCCGTGGAGGCATTGGAAAAAAACCAAACCCCTCATATCAAAAAAAAAACAATACAGAAAAATGAAGGTCAACATTCATTTAAGCAAAGCAGACTTCCCTGTCCCTTTGTGAAGAAAAAGTAAGCTCAGACATCTTAGAGCAAGCAAGCAGGTACAAATCTATGAGTGGAGATAAAATAATTAATAAAGATACATTTGGAGTTTGTACGTCCTGCTGTGAATTTGTGGTTACTTTTAAATTAGACTTAGAATGTATTACAAAAATATTTCATCTGTAACTATGTTTTCTAATTAGTGAAAGTCAAACTTTCCCACTAGTGTATCTTCAGAAAGAGTATATGCACTCCATGGATAGAAAAATAGACAATCCAAAAGCCGAGACACAAAAATCAGCATTGAAGCATGGAGTTCCCTCTACTGGTTCTCCCTTGAAACTTCATGGCTTGTTGATCTTTTTTGTTCAGCATTCACTTTGAACATTTTCACTGCAGGAAAACTAGCAAGATAATTTTCTCAATGAAAGAACATGTTTTAAACGAGCTCTTGAAAATTATAGTTTTAGTCATTTTAAGAAAGCCAGCTATCTCCCACCATTACAAATCACTACGTTTGCCACAGTTCTTCAACTGTGCCTCCTCTTTAAGTGCTATGCTGCATGGAAACGCATCTATTTAGTTTTGGAGTGCTGAATAAACCCTAAAGCTCACTTACAAGTGAGGATATGTTACTATCTATTAGTTGCAAAGCAACTAACACTTATTGCATGTCGAGGCATGCACTTCCTCAACAATAGAAACGTTTTACTTGGTAAGAATCACTCAGCAATTCTTTTAATGGGCACAGACATTAATTACATGTTAAGACAGTCCAGGATCCTACTGCTAAGATACACATTCAAAAAATAAACTGAAAGAATACAAGCTTATAAATGGAGAGACTATTCTGTACCCATTCAACAGGCCGGACTTCAAGGAAGACATTTGACACCTAAAGCCTTTATATAGACTCTACCTATAAAAAAAGTACAGAAGAACTTCACATGAGATCCATGAAGCAGAAAAGACATCCTAAACCAACTACATGCTTGCTCCTTAACTTGCATCACCAAAACGAATCTGATGTTTGGTGCTAGAAATATATGGGAAGGGACAAATATTGCCGTAATTATTAGTCAGTTTTATTTTACTTGTGGAACATTCTGCATCTATAAATTACACTGAGGACCGAGGAGAGTCTTCTGTCAAAGTCCTAGGACACTGAACTGCGTGGTTGAGTTTATCCTTCCATTCTTAGGAATCAGCTCTGTTTTTCAGAAAGTCGCTTCCTCCAGTTCAGACTTTGGCTCTAGCTTTTCATCTTACGTCCTGGTGATCTTTTCCTTTCAGCTCATGAACTGTTTCCCATCTTATTTTAGAGTTCTATGATAATTTGAAATATGAACTACAGTACTATGAATTTTATATTTAAATTTAATTATTAAATTTAAGCCTTTTGATCACTTAAGAACTTCTGACCTAGAATAGCACATACATTAACTCCTCACATTTCGTGCCACCCTTAGAAAAAGAAGAAAAAAGTGCAACAAAGAGCATTTACCTTGTGGACGTGCTTGCCTTCTCCACTGTGGACATGAGTCTTGCAAATGCATCAGTCACTCTGTTGCTTGCATTGGAAGTTTCCAGTTTTGAGGTTGTCAATTCATACAACTCAGGATCCACACCTTATAGTATAAAATGATAATCAGTGATGGTTGGAGGCAAGTATAGCCATAATTAGCCACAGACCAACTTGCTAGAGACTGTTTTCTGCAAACAAATCAATCATAAATAATTTCAAGATACATGAAAAGAACATGACAGAACACGTCTGCATTTCTGAAACACTGTCCTCTCTCCCCACCCTTTTTCAGTACCTTTTATAGTTGTATCACAAAACACACACACATTGGATCAAGTCGCAAGTATAGCCATAATTAGCCACAGACCAACTTGCTAGAGACTGTTTTCTGTAAACATCTGAATCATTTATAATTTCAAGATACATGAAAAGAACATGACAGAACACGTCTGCATTTCTGAAACACTGTCCTCTCTCCCCACCCTTTTTCAGTACCTTTTATAGTTGTATCACAAAACACACACACATTGGATCAAGTCTGGCATACAAGGTCTCAGTCTAAGAGTAAACAAAATAAATTTGATTTACCTTTTAGAGTGAAACACCTGTAAAAATGTCAGCTGTGTTAAAATGGATTGTTTCAATTATTTCAACTCAACTGTTTGTATTAAAAGAACACTGTATGTTAACAGGGACCAACTCTTTAACGAGAGATTATACACAACACTGGCATGCATTAGAGTGCATTTAGTATCTTGCTTTTCACAAGGGGTTGTGTTAAAAATTTAAGTGAGGAAAAGGAGCTTTTATGATACATACAAGTAGAATGGCATTAAAAAAAGTTACATACTAATATGTACAATGCCACCAAAACTTTTAGTCTCTGCTCCCTTTTCACCTTTCAAGTATTTATAAAGCATCAAGTATCTGGATGTTTCAGCCTTGATTTCCTAGTTTCAGATATCTTAAGTCAGATGCTAAATTTTGACATCACATATGTTGTGAATGGATTTCAAATTTTATCAGCAGAGGTCACTCTGAAAACAATGTGAACAATGGAAACATGCATAAAAAAAACCAAAAACAAACATATGTATGGGTGAAATTCTACCTGTTTAATATCAAGCATCACATCTCAGTAGGAAGTAGCTCTAGAATTTCCAGATATTAAGTATGTTTTCTTTAAAAAAGTCTCTAGGAATTAGAACCATCAAAATAAATCAAGAGGAAAGACTGCTACAACACATTTTGTTGCTCAGAAGCATTTTAAATTGGTGACATTCCTCTAGTTACAGTTTCATGTTTTATGCTTCATGGGTTTAAATGAAGTATGCATATGCACCATCCACAATTACAAATATTTTTCAAAAACAGCATAGAATTTTTGTACAAAAGCATTGTGTTTTATAGACACCTGCATTCTAAACAAGTGTAACACTAGTGCCAGCTGGTTCGGACAACACAGAAGCATTTCATACTACTGCAGAGCAAATGCTGCAAATAATTGGACATGATGGTCCCACGTAACCACCTAATATAAAAACAGCATTTATAAACTGATGTGCTGATGATTTTACTTGCAATACTGCAACATATTTGGCATACTGCTGAGATAAGACCTTCTCACATCTCTGAAGGTTTCTAGCTTGAAAAACAGACTGCTTTTCTTTTGGAGAGCATGAAATCAGAAAAGAAAAAACACTTGAAGTTTTTAAAATTCAGAGTTGACAAAAACATACAAAATGTATTGAACAAGTTTACTTGCCTGGATCAAGACACTTTTAGAAGTACTCCTGAAATACTGAAAGATTACTAAATAAAAAAAAAATGCCTGTGTCTATTGTCCTGCCTTTTCCGCCCAGTAATTGCAGTACTACATGCGCAAACAAATGAAGTTAATAATCCTCATGCCCACTTTGCATGAACTCTCCTCAAGTACTATCTTGACCATTCATCATTTGTGCACAAGTTAAGTACCCTTTCATTGTCAGGAAACTAAGCTGACCAAAAAGTAAAATTAAGAAAATCATCTGGTTAAGCTGCAGGAGCTGAGGGGGAAAGATTTGCTCCATTTAATATGAGTTTATTAGAAATTAATCAGTTCTCCTTTCAACCTACATTTTTTTAAGTCTGGATTAATTTAATCCAGTTTCATGCAAAACATCAAAATATGTACTGTCCTGAGACCAGTATACCAAGACTTTAAGTATTGTCAGATGTTTACAGAACTTGGAAATAGGAGAAAGCCCAGCTATTCCATAAAACATCCACGTTCAAACAGGGAGAGGAAGACTTGAAGAAATACACTTTGACTTGCAGAAGCCTGCGAAATCCCATTAAGGTACAAATTGTAAAACTAATTGAAACAAGGAGTCCTTTGACATGCAACTCTGCAACAAATGTTAAATGCAACCTTATAAGTTACATCATTTAGATATCCACATTTACGGTCCTGAATTCATTTTCATTGTAGTGCGATGTCACTGCTCAATTTACTGTTCCTTAGGCACCTATTACTCAGCTACATTTATGTTAAACTATCAACATGAAAAATAAAACAATACACTAAATCTATGGGAACATACTAGAAATGAGTAACTCCCTGTTCATGATGTAGAATACAAAATTTAATAAAAAGTGATTTTGGCTACTGATGAAATTGGACTGAGAAGAATACAGCACAGATCTATAGTAAGTAAAATTAAAGTCTTCAGAGAAAGAACAAACTTCTGATAAAAGTTTCTTCTTTAAGCCAAAAGATCTAACAATTTGTCTTTCAATTATTTTAGTTGAGTTGCATTTTCTCCATTTTATTCAAATGATTAGAGAATATTTAAGGAAAGCACTGCAAAACCTTAATGAGATATTGAAGGAAAGTTAGCCAACCAAACCCCACACAAAGCTCCTAAACACACACACAAACACACGAGCTGCAAGCCAAGAAACAAATGACTTTCCCAGAAACAAGTCAGGAGGAAAGAAAAACCAAAACCAAAAAACCAAAAGTAGGCACCATAGGGCATACCAGGGAAGGTGATAATACCTGTAACTTGATGGAACAACAACAACATAAAAAAAATGCAGTAAAAGGCTAACAGAGCATCCCTCCAGTAATCACTTCAAGTATGCACACCATCAGGACACAAGAATGTACCCGACTGCATGAGCAGTACACGTACTGGGTACTGATGACTTATGTTGATAGACTTGCACACACTTACAAAAGAATCTGTAAGACTCAAGCATCTTGAATTTGCTACCTATCACTTCCACAACAAATCTGCCATCTTTCATCTGATAATGACATTTCTCAAAGGTGGAATAAAAAGACATTTGGAATGCGATACCATAAAATTGCCTTCAATGATCAGATTTCAAAACCATAAAAGCAGGTTTTTTAAAAAAAAAAAAAAAAAAAACAAACGATAATAATTATAGGCTCTTATTTGAAAAGTGGGAAAACGCCAAGTCTCTTAAAAATTGGGTTTTTAAATTGAAAATCACTAAGAGGAAAAAAACCCTTCCTATGAAGAAAGTGATTATCATGGCTTCAGGTATTGTCTTGAAAGAGTATTTGCCTTATCTACTTAACCTATGCACTGGGATAAATCCCCAAAATATTCCCTTAAATTCCTGCAGAAATTTATTCAAAGTGTAGGTTTTCACAAGCTCATGCAAAATACTCAGAGCATGTCAAAACCATGCAATAAGTGAATTCAATTACTTTCACATATTATTCAATGGAGAGAGTGGTGTTTTTGTCTCCTTTTAAGGAAGTAAGTTGCAGATAAAGTGCTTTGGTTTTATAATTAACATTCATGAACTTCTGATGTCCCACAAACATGCAACTATCCTTGTTTTCCATTATAAATGTTGTTAAAACACTTTTTTCACTTTATCATTAATATTAGTAGTTCACACAAAGAAAAAAATTACAACCTCCTGGTAGCAGCAAACACCAGCGGGGTTGTGATATGTTAAGCCCCATAACTTTATATTCACACATATCTTCCAAATAACATCATAACCCTATAATTTGGAGACACTCATTCAAAAGAGAGAACAAGCCTCATTTTTTGGGAATTGTCACATCTACAGCATTTTTCAGTTTTTCTCAAGTGCTTAGAAAAGTTAACTTTCAAAATTTCTCATTTGAAACAAGTGTTTTAACATCTTATTTGCAAGAGCGTAAGAGCCATTCATTCCTTCAGCATGTGACAAATACAGAGCTGACAGTACCTTTTAAATACTTCGCACTCGATACAAAACATCAGAAAACAGAACACAGATTAAAGGAAAAAGGCAGTAGAAAGACATTTTAGAGAAATGCAGTGTAAAATTTCTCCTTGTTTATAGGAAAGTCAAGTGATGTGCTCATGCTTTTAGCAAGTCGTTACAGTATTACGTTTGTGGTTTTAACACTCTGCTGACCTGGGATTGTGGTGGTGCTGCTAGAGCTACTGTCATCCACGGGCCCAAAGAAATCAAGGTTCAGAAGAGTGGAACCTCCACTAGCTTGAAATTCAGTGACCGTGTTGGTAGGCAGCCATATAGAAGGTAAGCCAAGGGAGGGGTTTATGTGTAAAAAGGGGTAAGACACACACTTGAACATGCAAGTTATAATTAGTACTCAGTACGCAATTTAAAAATCGACATGAAAACAATGCTTACAGTATTAGTTTGTACCTTCTAAAATGATAACAACTTAATTCAGTGCACATTTCCTCATGTACAATGCAGCAAGGAAATCAACACTAGTAACTTTAAAATAGAAATATTTATTTCAATCTAAAAATGAAAGAGAACCAGCACGACCCAAAGAGAAAGATGTGATCAGTTAAAGGGAAACAATATATACGTCAATTGATAGAATATAGTGAGCTTTTTCTCCCCTCACTGAAATTGAAAGCCATTCTTTCATCAGGAAGACTTAGCAGATCCCCAAATAGCAAAGAACAAAAAAAAACCTTTAAAGTTTTATTTAGCAGCTTTAAGCTATTAATTATCATTATCTTAAAGCAGTATGAACACAGGGTAACAAATGCCACTCTTATATCCAGTTCCTCACTGGTAAATTATACTGTTCCCCTTTAGTACTAAAACAGAAATCAAACCAAGATACATTTTAAAGAAGTTGTTTGTTAAAAAGAAAGCATGATGATTGACTGAAGTAATAGACACCAGACAACAGCAGAAGGGTCCATCCAGGCTTTCCTTCAGCACCATGATACTGCTATCCAAACTCTTAACATCCCACATGTTCTGAAATAACACCGTGAGGCAACACCAGTGCAGTAAGAGATGCAGTTTATTTTAGCCTGCTTTTGAACAACTTATGTGTCATGAATTAATTGCTGTTAGCAGGCTCCTCATAAAGGTATCAGTTTCTTTACAGGTTTCTAGTCTGTCAATCAAACAAGTTTCCAAAACTTGTTTTATTTACTTTGCATGCACTTACATTTCTGAGACTGGAGGCGGTGGCACAACTCACTTTGCTATTAAAATAGACATAGGTGAAGGGTCTTTTATGTGATAACTATATACATTTACAGATACAAATAAGTTCGTAGCTACCTCTTTAATTTAATATATTAGCTATAATTAGCTCTTGAGTGTAAGCAAAAGTGATAACAGATGAAGTCACATTTTTGAAATATAAAATTATCTGTAAATCTGAAAACTTTCAGCTCAAGAAGTGTATCTTTTGCAAACAGTTTGCGGTTAAAATATTGTGCTTTGAAGTAGCCACTATACACAAGTTTGTCATTCAAAGGATGTCTAAAGAGATAGTTCATTGGTGAAAAATACTTTTAAGTAGTAAAACTTGTCAATCTAAAATGCTCATTTGTTCAGAGTTTCATTACAATCTGCAGTTATGTATATAATGAAGTGTTAATATTGCCATTGTGTCATTAGCATATGGCAGGAATCTAAAATAAAACTTAACTTAGTGTTTTTCAGACTACATAATACTTCACGTAGGGGCACAGTTAATCAGAAAGAAAGCCTGAATTTCCAAAGTTAGGAGTAAGAAATAAGTATTGTATATATTTTTATATATGTGTGTGTGTGTATATTTAAAAAAAAATAAATCAGCAGATAGATGTTTGTCTGAACTTTGTAGCTTTCTTATCTCTAGCTCTGGTGCTAGAGGCTCTACGGAGAGACGTACCATCTAAAGGGTTAGTAAGGCCACTGCTACTCCAGTCAAACTGGACAGGTGGTAGAGATTCCTAGAGTTGAAAAGTCAGAAATCAGATTTTATAGTCAGTTCAGGTTACAACAATGCAAAGCAGTTCAAACAACAGATTCTTTAGCGTCTAAATACTAAAAAGACAACTAAATGAGCAAGCCCCAACTTTTGGGAGGTCTGTATTTTCATAATATGCACTAAAGATTCAAAGTAGACTTGTTCTACCACAGGAAGTCTCATTAAATTCTGAACAGTACAGATTAAGTAACTTCTAACTGAAACAGGATTTGCAAATTAACTAGAACATATGAATTGGATAAAAAGACCTTAAGGCACAGTTGAAAGTTAAACTACTATTACTTTCATGGAAGACAAGGCATTTTGCATAAAAAGTTACGTATACACAATTATAGGGCAAATTTAGAATACGGTTATTAGCAAAAGCTGTCTGTACATCCATGCTTTATCCTAATTATATATAAAATCAGTTATTTACCATTAAATAGCCCACGAGTCTTTTGGGTTTTTTTGCTTTTAAGAGACATAATCCCTACATGTGAGGGACAAACTATCAACACCCTCCCCACTCCACCCCCTTAAAAAAAAAAAAAAAACCCACTACATGTGGGGGACAAACTATCAACCCCCCCCCCCCTCCCCCCCCTTAAAAAAAAAAAAAAAATCCGGTGACTTATTATCCTTTAACGATTAACTCATTCCAATATATAAACAAACCATTGGTAACAATGCTTGAACAAGAGGAGCATGGCAACATTGACTCCTTCTGGGAGCCCATCCTTGCCTTTTCATTTCCTCTTTTGTTAAGTCTTTTGCGCACACACACAGGTAAATCAAGCAAGCAGCAGGGACCATGCTTTAAAATCCGGTGACTTATTATCCTTTAACGATTAACTCATTCCAATATATAAACAAACCATTGGTAACAATGCTTGAACAAGAGGAGCATGGCAACATTGACTCCTTCTGGGAGCCCATCCTTGCCTTTTCATTTCCTCTTTTGTTAAGTCTTTTGCGCACACACACAGGTAAATCAAGCAAGCAGCAGGGACCATGCTTTACAGGGAAAGTGTGTTCAAGGTGCAGTGTAACTTGTAAGTGCTGTCCTGTATTCTCAGGACACAAACTGATGGGGCAGTATCAGAAATGTCTGAAATAAGTTGATCTTTCTAATTCTCTGCATTACATTTCTGCTCTCTCCCCAGTGAAGTCAACTGTCAAGAAGTACTGGGAAAGGATGTGCCTTCAACTTCTAACAGAACAATCACACTTATGGAAGAAAAGCAATGGAAGTTCTCTGCAGCATTATTCAGAACGCATCACTAGTTGTCAAACTAGTTGTCAAGCTTCCAGTGGCTGACATATACTTTCTCTTTGCTTTTGTAGAAAGTCAGGCTTTAATTTTTTTTTTTTTTTTTTTTTTACTTTTAAAACTTTCAACTATCCAACACTGAAAAAATATGCAGATTCATGAATCAAGACTGTAGCAACCCAAGCTAGCTTTGTACAATTAAGCTAACTGTAAGAGGCTTTTGCTAGGTGATAGATGTTTACAGAAAGAAAAGTGAAGGGAGCTGGAAATTTCTGTATTTACTTACAGTAAAAGCCTGGCCTAGAAAAATCTTTCCTACCTAAAGACTTGGAAATATTTCCAGTACTGAGCACAACTAGAACAGTATTCACTCCATGGAGCTACAGGAGCTGATGCTACATTTTTTTTTTTTTTTTTACTTTGCTTTGGTAATGAAATTACTGGCATTGAAATTATTTGCATGGAAACATAATGTTAGCAGTGTGGAAGCTACACCTGATGAAATAATGATCACTATCATCAGTAGCTTGTTTAAAGTTTGTCACACCTAAAATATATTAACATTAAAAGGGGTTTGTACAAAAAAAAAAAAAAAAAGAAAAAAAAGGAAAAAAAAAAAGGAGGTGAGTATGACAATTTAGTGGCTTTCTGCCCTGAGGAAAATGAACTCAAATTGAAACAAAGTAGCTTCCTACCAACCCTCACTTACTGAGGAAAACACCCACTACATTTTGCCTCAAAAGACCGAGTCAGGACTCGCGAGTGTGACAGAATTGCATGGAAAAGGTGGTACCAATGGCTGGCAAGCTTTTCCCTTTAATGATGACTTGATTCTCAAATTTGCCAAGGAGAGGACAAAGGATGTGATGAATTCTTCCTAAAATGGGGGGGGGGGGGGGGAAGGAATCTGACTCCAAATCAATGAGTATACTAAGTATATTAGTCTGCTCTGTGGGATGAGGCCATCCTGCTGACTTCAACCACTTGCAAAAGAGGGTGGTGGCAAGTAACGCAGACCCCATCTATGCAGGATGCTGGCAAGCCCTGGTCTATACAATAGCAAAAAAAGTGAAAGGAGAGGGCAGAGGCAAAAGCCAATTAAACAGAAAGGAAAAATTTTCTGTTTCTAGTGACCTCGGCTCTAAGAAAACTAACAATACTGGGACACCTGAACACAGCATTGAAATCTCAGACAACAGGAACATGCCCTGCAAAGGGGAATATAATGTTTTGTCTTTCAGACATTGCAAGGGTGCTAGACTACTGCATTTACAACCAGTATTTTAATAACATGCTTTAAGGAAAAGTGCCCAATCTAGAAGGATATTCAGAATCAGGGCAAACTGCTCTCACTCCTCCCTTCATCTTAGATTACAGAACATGAAAAAGTATATTCAGCTGTCAGAGTACTACTCTGAATGTTAAGGAAGTGAAAAAGAGGAAACTAAAATACCTGCTGGTTTTACTGCACTGTATTTCACTTTGATAAAACTGAGAGATGTTTTCACACAGTAATTTTAGAATGGTATTATGTAAGAGCTTTTATAATCCAAAGGAGTAAAATGTAAATGTTTGTCTCTGTGCCAATAATTACCCAAGGAAAATTAAACAAAGAAAAAAAGGAAGTATTTTTCTGTCTTAAAGCTGGGGGAAAAAAAATAGATGGGCTTGTAATACAAGTATAATAGCAATATTTAGATAGATCCCACAAATAAGCATCATAAACATTTCAGAAAAAGGTTTACAAGGAAGTAATTCATACATTTAGTTGTGTGTATTCATGGGCAAAATTACAACAGTACTGAAAATTATTTTCCTCAGACACCACCTTTAAGCAACTGTCATATCTGATACAATAGCAAGTTCTGTAATATCTCTTACCTGCAAATCTTTCTCTCTCATTCTGTCAACAAAGCTACATATACTCTTGGATCTTTCTTGTATGTATAACTGGAGGGCAGTTCCATGATGGAGCCTTTGGCTGGTGGCCAATAATATGGTAGTTTGCATCTGTCATTGTTAGAAGTCCTGATGGTCCCTTATGTAATTAAAAGTGTTTTTAAAGACTGTCACCCCACGGGGTTTAATTACGGTTCAGTCCCTAATAGCCAGCAAGTTTAAGATACATATTGTATTATAAACTGATCTCTAATTCAGTGGCTTACATGCATGCAGATGTGCTGTAATAGGCATCCGCAGAAAAGAATTACTGGTAATTTTCTTCTAGAAAGGTCTGGGTCACTGTAGATTTCTATTCCAATATAAAACTTACTAAGCAAAACTAGGCAGGTAAGAAATCCCAAAGTTATCCCGTACGCTGGGACAAAGCTACCACTAAGCCCTACCAAAGAAACATAGTCCCAAATAGAGAGAAGAGGATGCTTTGAAGCAATACCAAAACAGCAGAAATATCTAGAGAAATTTTTGCAAAAAAGCCAAAGAGAAGGAGGTAAATAAAAACTATGGTAGCCAGAGAACAGTATCAAATCAAGAAAAAGCAGTCAACATTAAGTCTAGACAGCAACCTTTTTAAAAAGCCCTGGAATATATTTTAACCACACTGCCTGAAGACTTGGCCATGGTGTAGAAGCCCACTATAGCAGATGCTGTAAAACAGAAGAGAAGGGTACCTATCTCAGGTTTCACAATCAAAGGTTGCCTATTTGAGCAGGCATTCTCTCTTACACCTGATGTGCCTTGATAGAGCCTTTTACTTCAGACTTGCGAAGTCTTTGAGACACCATGCTTAGATAAAGGCAATGGTAATCAGGGGATTATTTCATATTCTGTTTACTGTCTTACAGTTATGAGCACAGATGAACAGAGAAATAACCCCCCCCAATTGTCAAGATAAACAACAGATCAAAGAAGAATTTAGATGCTACCTTCAACTATAAAACAGAATGAGTCTACGAAAGTCATCTTTATACAATAAACTAATGTGATAGATCTGTCAGCAACTTAACTTGCTTGAGAGGAGAAATCATCATTTCGAAAGCCTCGTCCTTACAGCTTAAATGGCTCAGATGGAAATTTGTCCACTCTATTTCCAGTTTAACCAACCCAGTGAGAGCCTCTGCAGGGAAGGAGACCAAAACAGAGTTTATATAATAAGAAAAATTATTTCAGCTCATTTACTGCTTTTTTCCTCATTCTTTTGGTTTCTAATGGTCTCTATTTTAAATCTCTGCATGCTTCCCTCTGTTCGCCTACAACCAAAAAACTGAGGAGGCATTTCTGTGTTTTTAAAAATGTTCTTTCCACTCCTACTTTTGCATCATCACAGTCTTTGTTCCAAAATCTTATTCCCTCAGCAGGAAGTCATACATGCACATGCACAGACACTGATCTGTATGAAAGTCCCATAAATGCCAGGCTTTCAACAAAGGAGAACTCTTCTTTCCTTAAGTAAAGCATAGGAATCTATTAACCAGAGCCTCTCTTTTCAAGAAGAAAGCCAATATGCTGAAGTTTCTGAATATAAGAACGACCAATCATCATTGCCATCTGAAAATGGAGGAATTCAGAAGTTTTACCCAGTTAATGTGTAATTAGTTAGTTAAGCTTAAAGACACCTAAGTTGTTGTCCCTAAATTACCTGCATTTAGAATAAGAAGTTTCAGGGTCCACTAAAATTGCCTATAATATTTCCATTGCATATTTGTCAATGTTTATAGCACAGTTCCTAATAAAATGTTTACCAAAGTTTGGGCACATCATCTTAATACCACTACAATCTGGAATATTCCTAAGAGGCAGTCTGCACCACGTGAAGTGAAGCTGGATTTTCCCAAAAGCAAACAGAAGCCACCAAACATTAACGAAAGATGAGGCCAAGAAAGAAACACAGTCTCTGAGGTGAAGAATTGATCGTTCATGCCCTGAAACTTTCTGAATGTCACTTAACTGTGGCCTCTTAGCATTCTTAATGGTTAGAGCTCTAACTCATCTGTTCCCCAAAAGCTTATTTTAGTATTTGTCTTTTTGGAAAAAAATAACCTAAGGCCAGCAGTATAGACAGATAGCATAGAAGCCTCTCGTACGTATTCACGGACCACAACTATTGAACTGAGATGGCCTTGTCAGAACAAGCTATAAGACAGGATTATCAAACTGTGACAAGTAATGGGAAATTCTGCTGCAGGAGTACCCAAAAGTACAAATTCATAATTAGAGAAAAAAAGATACTTCAATAAGTAGAGGTTCTTATTTTTAGCACTCAGCACTACGACTGCCAAGCAACTAAGAAAATGGCACACGTCAGTGATGCTGCTACTTGAGGCTCTTGCAGCTTTCTACACTGTGTTTAGTGTATGCTTTAATCTGTGTTTTCCCCTCTGTAAAAAAAGAGGAACTTTGAACACTGCAGAAAGCCAGTGAAATTTTCCTACTTTGTTCATATATAGAAATCACACAAGTGATTTCTTCAGCTCAGACTGGTTGCAATAATCATTACTGTTACCTTTTCTAATACCCAGTTAAGCTGCTCAGTTCCGCTATAGTATTTGTGAGAAGCAGTGTAGGAAGCGTCACCAAACATGTATATTACTATATAAAACAACCTCAGTTCTGAGCCCACTGACATACTGCTATTCCACAATGAAAAAAAATTTCTCCTCTGGTACAAGCATGTCACAGTTAGAGCTCTGCACTATGGCAGAGCAAAGAGCGCAAGGAAATCACTATACTCAGAAGTACCTAGTATTAAGGTTAGGTGTAGCACAGGCATAATTCATTTTGGAATGCCTTCAATCAGAAGTCACAAGCATAGCAGGTAGCTAAAGATGCTGGGCAGATTAAACAAGACCTGCACTAAGGAGGGACACAGCTGACACTGAATATGTGCCGAGTACCACTGTAGTGACACTGAAAATGAAATGTCTCTGCATATCCCATTAGCTAGTTGCCAGCCACACACATTGCAACATGCACAGCATTTAAGTGGTTTTCTAATATCATAATATCAAAACAACAACAACAAAACAGAATTCATGGAATTCAAAAGCTCACTCCTAAACTCCTCTGAACTCATTTTGTATCAGACTCCTACAATAAGCTTCAGAGAAAGCAAAGATGAAAGACGTTAGCCAGAGGAAGGAAAACTGTTAAGTTACATCTAAAATTTGTGGAAGTAACCGTCCACTGCCTTTTGGAGCAGCTTGTTGTATAGCAGTAAATATCCATCAGGACTCTTAAATGCTGGCCACCAACTGCTGCGGTCTTATCATAGGGACTCCCTTCCAGTCAACACACGAAAAGTAGATCCAAGAGCAGGACTTCAATCTGACACAAGGAACACCTGCCCTTTACATACAGGTCTCTTTGAACACATCATCTAGAGATTTTAAATACGAAGGAAGAGGCAAAGCATACCATTGTTTCCTCTCATTCTTTCTTTTCCTCTCCTCCCCCTTCTCTCTCTATTTTTTACCTGGAACTGATCAGATGTACATGTGTTCATCTCTGGTGATACAGGAGGTGTCTGTCCTATTGAAGCTATTTTTTCTGCTGCAGATATTGGTTTCAAAGGCTCCTTGGTAGGCTCTAACATACCCTAATTAAATAAAGAAATAAATTTAGGGAAAAAATAAGTCACATGCACACACAGACACACACATATATATTCCAAGAACTGCAGACGCAAAAAAAAAAAAAAAGAAAACACACTACTAGGTAGTACTACCCTCAACTAAGGACTTGGGGGTAACTATACATCTTTGGGACACTTTCAGCGAGGGGGACAGAAGGAGATGGGGCAGGGGAGAGAATCACCCTGGTTCCTTAGGCCTAAGAAACATTTTAGAGCCAGTAACAGAAACCCAAGTGCTTAGCTGGAACTTGCTTCCAACTTTCAATAATGTAACTTAAGCTGGAGGAAACAGCTACTTGATAAGGTGACATCATCTCCTCCCAATTGTGTGTAGACTATTCCAGAAATATCAAAGGGCCCATCACGAAGGTACAAGTGCATTCATTCCATTTCAACAATTAAGTAATTCAGAGGAAACAAGTTGAATTACCAGTTTGCAGAATGATACCAAGAACAGTAATTACTGACATGGAAATAAATGCATTAAAAAGCATTAAGAAAATAATTAAAACCACATTTTTAATTTTAAACAAAGTGTTCAAAGCTAAACAGTACTATGAAAAAATGTCTGAAATCTCTGGTGTTCCTGAATAAAATTCAGAAAGAGATCTACAGAAAGACCAAAGTTTGCACTGAGACATGCAAACCACCTCAGAACAATGAGGTATGAGAAAAGAAACCCCCAAATAAAACCACTGGATTTGCAACGAGTGTATTTTAAAATAATTGCAGGAAGTCAGCCACCAAGATCAGCCGTCCCACAAATGCTTCTACTCCATGTTAGGGGAGCTTAGAATTTAACCACCAGTTAAATAAATTCTTTTGGACAGCAGAGAAACACATGAAGCAGTGTGGCAACGGAAAGCCGCAAGCCACTTTCCCCCTACCACCATCTCATCTCTATCCAGCTTATTGCATGCACAAGTATATAAAAAAATTTAGGAGATAATTAATCAGGAACAACAATCTGTTGCAAAAAAGTAACTGCACATGTTGCGTACAAGCACAGTCTTGCTCACAAACATGTTACAGGAAGAAAACAGCAATTGCTATGAGATGTTTTATCTCTCTGTATCAGAATACCATGCTTACATTCAAAGAAGTACATGAGCTGACCTTGATGCATCAGAAAACAATGGCTCTAGAAACTGACAGTAGAAGTCACTCTACAAAATTAACCTACAGATTAAATTGGCTTTATATATACCAAAGAAAAATGTAATCCTTTTATATTCTATGTGTGAATGACCATATAAAAGTGCATGTGTGTTTGTATGTGTATATATACACATAGGTTTCCAGAAAAAGACAGGTAGCCTGGGAGGAATACAGAGAAATTGTCCGAGCAGCCAGGGATCAGGTTAGGAAAGCTAAAGCCCTGATAGAATTACATCTGGCCAGGGACATCAAGGGCAACAAGAAGAGATTCTATAGGTACGTCAGGGATAAAAGGAAGATGAGGGAAAATGTGGGCCCTCTTTGGAACGAAACGGGAGACCTGGTTACCCGGGACACGGAGAAGGCGGAGGTACTCAATGACTTTTTTGCCTCGGTCTTCACCAGCAAGTACTCGAGCCTCACTGCCCAAGCCACATAAGGCAAAGGTGGGGACTGGGAAAACAAAGAGCTGCCCACTGTGGGAGAAGATCAGGATCCATCCGAGGTCCTGAGGGAACTGGCGGATGAAGTTGCTAAGCCACTATCCATCGTAATTGAGAAGTCGTGGCAGTCCGATGAAGTTCCCACTGACTGGAAAAGGGGAAACATAACCCCCATTTTTAAAAAGGGAAAAAAGGAAGACCCGGGGAACTACAGGCCAGTCAGTCTCACCTCTGTGCCTGGGAAGATCATGGAACAGATCCTCCTGGAAGCTATGCTAAGGCACATGGAGGACAGGGAGGTGATTCGAGCCAACATGGCTTCACCAAGGGCAAGTCCTGCCTGACTAACCTAGTGGCCTTCTATGATGGAGCGACTACATCAGTGGACACGGGAAGGGCTACAGATGTC